AAAAGTTCTGAGTAAAGCTAGGAACAATGCCTCTTACAGTTGTTGTTTGCCATCAAATTGATTTATGGTGACTTCATAGATGAGAGACATCCTGGAGGCCCGGTCACCAATACCCCTGCTCAGGTTTTGCAAATGCAGAGCTGTGGCTTGTTTGCTTGAGTCTTTCTGCTTGCAAGGCCATCCTCTCCCTTTCTTCTTACCTTCTACCTTACTTTTTTCTTCTTCAAATTAATCATCTTATCTGTATTGTCGAAGGATTTCATAGCCAGAATCACTGGGGTATTGTGTAGCAGCTGCTAGAACATGAACATACAGCCCAGAAACCACACAACAGTTGTGTTATCTTTCAATAACTCTAAGTCATCCATTGAAATATTTGCAAAGCTCACAGGTTTTTTAATTGTAAGCCATTTATTTTGGTCACTGAAAAAAAATCATGTCATTTTGCTGTTTTGATATTCTAGTAGTATGAATTGCCCAGGGATCAGTTATGGCAACAAGACACATAAACAATCCAGAAAAGAAAATGACAGTGTTTGTGCTTACATATTCAATATTTACTCTAGGGGTGAAAGAAGATGCCAGTGTAAATAATTTCAGGGCTTTGGCTGTCAGATTTGGGTTTGTCCCCCTGTCTGACAGCTCTCACAATCCTTTAGCCAGAATGGCCAGCAGATTTTGGGAATTGTAGACCAAAACAGCAACTTTTCTGAACTTTGCCCTTTGAAGAAAAAAAAGGAGACATACAGGGTTCTGTTTTTTGCTTTATTTATTTACTTGTCTAATGTAAAATTGTACTACAGCAAGCCCTTTGCATCAAGTGAGGTGTGGCCCAGGACCTTTGTGGTTACTGAGACAGCTAGCTAGCCAGCCAGCTAGATGGAGGATTATACATTGATCTCAATGTTTCTCAATTATAGGCTTCGTTTGTACAAAATTTCAATGCCCCGATCTGTTCAAGAGCTATAAGAAATTGCAAATGAATGATGCAGGGTGGCACGTGGCATCTCTTGCTACCATGTATACCAGGCATGGGCGACCTTGGGCCCTCCAGGTGTTTTGGACTTCAACTCCCACAATTCCAAACAGCCTCAGACCTTTTCCTTTTCCTCCTCAGCCGCTTAAGCATTTTGGATCTTCAATCTTGAGTTCAGTCTTGCTAGTCCAGGGCAACCAAAGATATTTGAAAGGAGACTGTGTTAAAGAAAAGGCTAAGAACCACTGGACTGGCATACAGTCCCTGATTTCAACCTTGGTCTCTGTTTCCTCGAAACGTGTCAGTGATATATGTAAAACTGAGTCCTATGTATGTAACTCACTACAAACTTCCCAATTTACACTAGAGATATTTCTAATTACAGTTTTCTGTTTGTTTATGAGAAATATAAGTTATCAAAAGCTTGCTTTTCTCTAAACAAACTCTACCCCAAAAGATAAACTTGTGCTTTAAGTTTATTCTAATTCTTTTGTACTTATTGATTTTTTTACTCCTTTCTCTAGTACAGTGTTTCTCAATCTGGGGGTCACAAGGGAGTGTCAGAGCGGTCACCAAAGACCATATTTCTGATGGTCTTAAGAACCAAGTTGGTCCATATCCATCATTATTTGAGTCCACAGTACTCTCTGGATGTAGGTGAACTACAACTCCAAAATTTAAGGTTAATGCCCATCAAATCCTTCAAGTATTTTCTGTTTGTCATGGAAGCTCTATAAATCCCAGCAACTACAACTCCCAAATGTCAAGGTCTATTTTCCCTAAACCCCACCAGTGTTCACATTTGGGCATATGGAGTATTCATGCCAAGTTTGGTCCAGATCCATCATTGTTTGAGTCCACAGTGCTCTCTGGATGTAGGTGAACTGCAACTCCAAAACTAAAGGTCAATGCCCACCAAACCTTTCCAGTATTTTCTGATGGTCATGGGAGTGCCAAGTTTGGTTCAATACCATTGTTGGTGGAATTCAGAATGCTCTTTGATTGTAGGTTAACTATAAATCCCAGCAATGACAACTCCCAAATGACAAAATCAACCCCTCCCCCAACCTCACCAGTATTCAAATTGAGGCATATCGGGTATTTGTGCCAAATTTGGTCCAGTGAATGAAAATGCATTCTGTGTATCAGATATTTACATTACAATTCATAGCAGTAGCAAAATTACACTTATGAAATAGAAACAAAAATAATGTTATGGTTGGGAGTCACCACAACATGAGGAACTGTATTAAGTGCCTGCGGCATTAGGAAGGTTGAAAAATACTGCTCTAATATAATTTAGAACCATGGTTATATATCATCCCATATCTAAACAAACTATTCCTAACATCCTTGGTGGATTATCTTATTTTGTTTCACTACCTGCTAAGAGTATAAATACATGATCTTCAAGCCACTTGGGAATATGAATCAAGTGGCAAGCATAAGCTCAAAGAAATGCAAATAAGAATTGAATTTATATAATTATTGCCCCAAGGGTCACTGTGACAGGGATGACAGTAATCAGCTTTCAGGCGTATTTCCTTCTTTGTTGTTGCTCTGTAGTCTTTTTTGTTCTCTTTAATAATCCTTAAATCCTAAATAATCCAGGTCTCAAAACACTAGACCTGTAAAGTAGGAATGGGGAAACCTCCTCCTGCCCCTATATTTTCCATATTTCAATTCCCAGCAGCCCCAGTCAACATGACCAGTAGCAAGGCATTCCCAGATATTATTGCTGAAAACATCTGAAGGACTAATTCATTTACTTATTTACTTTCTCTATTTATATCCCACCTTTCTCTACCCCGAAGGGGATTCAAGGCAGCTTTACATATAGCAACTATTTGATGCCTTTAGACAACAGACAATTAAATACATTTAAGTCAAAATTTAAAACTAGAGTTAAAATTCACATATAAACATTATAATCACAATTAAAATCATGCTATCCACAATTGCAATCCGGAGCCAAGCATCGTTGCACATATTTCGTAGTTATTATTGCACTGTAGTTAGTCAGCACTCCTCACTCTTGGTATAGTCCTAGGAACTTGTAAATATTGGTTTTGTTCAAGAAGCTTTGGTATAATCCCCTGAACAAATGCTGGATAGACAGAAATGTGAATGAATGTAGTATTGAGTACAATGCGGATAGCTAAAAGGGATGTGTATACAGATACAACAACAGCAGGATTCACTGACTTCACGGGCTGTTGATAAGATCAAAGAATAATATTTCCACCTAGAAACACAAAACCTGTGACAAATACCTAAGGTTGAATAGGTCCAAATGTTAGATAGGTCCAACCTGGAACTTGAGCTGTACCTCTGTGCAAAATCAATAAACAAAGGTGTACTTGTTCGGGGTTATTTTGCTTCATAGCCTAGTGTTTAAATTATATTGAGAGGGTGATTGGGGAAATAGAGGTTTCTTACAAGAGCCTCCTGGTGGTGCAGCAGGTTAAACCACTGAGCTGCTGAATTTGCCGACTGAAAGGTTGGCAGTTCGAATCTGGGGAGCGGCGTGAGCTCTCACTGTTACGCCCAGCTTCTGCCAACCTAGCAGTTCGAAAACATGCAAGTGTGAATAGATCAATAGGCCCTGCTTCTGCATGAAAGTAACAGTGCACTATGCAGTCATGCATGTCACATGACCTTGGAGGTGTCTACGGATGATGCCAGCTCATCGGCTCAGAAGTGGAGATGAGCACCATTCTCCAGTCGGTCAAGACTATACTTAATGTCAGGGAAACCTTTGCCTTTACTACAAAAGCAGAATTTGCAGTCAATTCAATAAAAAAACAGATTAATAAAATTTCTTCATATGGCAAAATTATCTGGTGGAATAGAGTAGCCACAAGATTTTGAAACAACTCTGTTACTGATCATTTTACATTCTTATTGGACAAGTAGATTAGTGGCCATTAGGCATGGTGGCTATTAGGGATATGCGATCCATAAAAAAATGGCTCAATAGTCATTACAAAACTGGAGGGGGTGGGTGGGTGAGGGGGTGATGGTGCTTCATTTCTAAACTGTTTCTAAAGTATAGTTTGTGAGAAATGGTTACTATTTTTTTTTTGTCATTTCAGGAGCGACTTGAGAAACTGCAAGTCACTTCTGGTGCAAGAGAATTGACCGTCTGCAAGGACGTTGCCCAGGGGACGCCCGGATGATTTGATGTTTTTATCATCCTTGTGGGGGGCTTCTCTCATGTCCCCGCATGTGGAGCTGGAGCTGGTAGAGGGAGTTCATCCGCCTCTCCCCGGATTCGAACCTGCGACCTGTCAGTCTTCAGTCCTGCCGGCACAGGGGTTTAACCCACTGCGCCACCGGGGGCTCCTAATGGTTACTATAAGGAGAGTATTCCTATTTTGTTATAGTAATTGCAGGGGCTCCTTTCTCCCTCATTTTTAAAGCTATTAGAATGAAACTCGATACAATGGTAGAACACATTTACCATAGTTAGCCCACCAAATTTCAGAATGTTTCACCTATCCACGGATATTTGGGGAATTTTCTAAATCTTTATAAACAACATTTTAAAAAACCTCCAAGAGCTATCTACTTGAATTGTATATAGAATGTACAAGATAATCAGGACATAGATTCCCATAAGTTTCAGAAAAATTCACACATCTATAGATTTTGAGAGATTTTTAAAAGTTTAGACAAACTTTTAAAAGTTCTAATTGGAGCTCAGCTGTTACAAACAGTGCTATGGATTGTGAGGAGGTGCAAATAGAGGATGAAAGGGAGAAATGTGCCAAGAGGAAGGAGCATCAAACAAACTCTTGTCAGGACCACCTTCCACTTGGAAATCTAGGTCCTCTGTGCGAAAGGCTGTGTGGATCAGAAATAGGACTTCACAGTTGGACCCACCAACAAGACTCTACCTTTAGAAGACAATCAAATTCAGCATAAGTGATAGCCTATGACTCCCCAAAATCTCACATTTTAAGCCGTGCAGCCCTTTAGCATGACTATTGATCAGTAAATTGGAGAGCAAGGGAATTGTGATGATGTGTCCAGCTGTTTTTTCAGAGCTGGAGAAGTTGCAGCAGGCAATGGCAAGAAACCTCTGGGGTTTCTGAGGACCTACATGACATACTTGCAAAGTGGACAGATGGAGGAAAATGCCTGGTGGCTTCCTTGCCAATCCTTCTCCCCTCCTACAATGGGGAAATGGCTGTGCCATTGTTGTGGTTGGGCAAGTTTTGATGGGGATTCTGGTCATAGCATGAATAGAACAGGGTTCCAACTTCTGCAACAATAAAAAGTGATTTGAGAGGGCTAAGATCTGGCTTACAGCACTATATTTCATGAATAGGATGCCAGACATTATTTTTTATGACTCAAGTTTCCCCAACTGCCCAATCTATGGTGGTTCTGGGATCATAAACCAGAGAAGTATATGTTTCATGTTGTTTGTCATCCATCCATGTATCCATCTATCTCAAGTACTCAAGAGAGGTTTTTGCACTATAATATAGGTCGTAATTATATATAAAAAAAGAGGTTTGGTTTTAGGCTGGGAAGTCAAGACCAATCATTCCAATATCCAAAAATCAGACTGTAAAAATCAGTGGGAAATACTTCATGGATTCATAATACCATTTCCCTCTTGTTTACAGAGTGGAATGCTGCATTGAATATTTTCCAGATGTTTGCTCTTCAATGAGGATCATGCCATCTTCTTACTCTCAGCTGGATTACAAAAGGAATTGTTGAACTCCAAGAGGAGCTTGATGGATTTTCTGGGCCGGTCGCCTACTATGAAGTGTCCACATCTCTCTAGGATATGGACTTGAGAGCTGGGAAAAGCAGCTGCCAAAACTTCAGCACCAGAAGGATCAATAATCTAAAGAAAGAATGAGCATAATAATATGATGCAACCTAGAAACATAGAATCACAGAGTTGTAAGAGACCTTGTGGGCCATCCAGTCCAACCCCCTGCCAAGAAGCAGAAAAATCACATTCAAAGCACCCCCGACAGATGGCCATCCAGCCTCTGTTTAAAAGCCTCCAAAGAACGGGCCTCCACCACACTCCGAGGCAGAGAGTTCCACTGCTGAACAGCTCTCAGAGTCAGGAAATTCTTCCTAATGTTCAGATGAAATCTCCTTTCTTGTGTCTGAGTATTTGCCTTGCTCTTTTTCTGAGGCTGAGAGAATGCCAAAGTGGATATCCATGGTTGAGAAATTTCTACAGTTTCAATAGTTATAATTCAAATATCAAACAACAACATCATACTGATCATTTCACATTTTGTTTTTAAGCCGCAATCCATTTTGGACATGCCGGTTGTTGACAGGGGGAAAAAATCATAACTTGCATCTCCTTCTCTGAATAATCAGAAGCCATAGAACTGTAGAAATGAACAGGTTCACAAATGCCATTTAGTCCCACCCTTTGCACTCAGAAAAACAGTAGAGTCTCACTTATCCAACATAAACGGGCCAGCAGAACGTCAGATAAGGGAAAACGTTGAATAATAAGGAGGGATTAAGGAAAACCCTATTAAACATCAAATTACATTATAATTTTACAAATTAAGCATCAAAACACATTGTTTTACAACAAATTGAAAGTAAAAGCAGTTCAATACACAGTACACAAGTTATGTAGTAATTACTGTATTTACGAATTTAGTACCAAAACCGCACAATGTATTGAAACAGTGTTGGATCCGAGTGGGAGGCAGACTGCGTTGGATAATACAGAATGTTGGATGAGTGAAGGTTGGATAAGCGAGACTCTACTGTATTATCAAAATCTTTTGTTTTGATAATACTCCAAGGAAGGAAAATCCATCCCTTTATTCAAACATTGAACAGACTTGTCCTTAGGGCAACATTGTTCCTCATGTTCAGATTGGATCACTTTTTTTGCAGTTTTATAGGGACCCCTGCCTCTACGTGTCCTGAATATTTCTTATCAAAATGTGAAAGTTGCATCTGGTAATTAAGAGGCCTTAAAGCAATTCATAATGTAATAAAATGTTTAAAGAATATCTGATAAAACAATTACAGGAGGCTGGAGTTTGGTTCCAGATCACACCAAGGATATCAAATCCATGAATCATCATTTTATATAAGGAATATTATTTTACAATGACACAATAATATAATATTCTTCATATAAAGTGGCAAAATCAAGGTTTGCATTTGGGGATTTAAAAAAGGATTTTCAAGCTATGGTTGATTGGACCCACAGATATAGTATATGTGGATATAGGGGGCCTGCTGTAATTTTAAATGGAAGTCACAACAACAAAAGCGGATCTGCAGATATAAGAATGCATACATCTTACCTTGTCATCCTTTCCCCAAATAACTTGCATAGGAGCCTTGATCTTCGTCAAGTTGTCATGAAGGAGGAATCTGGACTCTTCACTACTTATATCTGCAAAACCTTTACCAGTCAAAAAAAGGAAAATTAAGATTTGTTTGTTTCCGTTGTTCTACTTATAAGTTGTACCCTGAAATGTACCACATATAAGAAGTGGGTCTGTTTTGCAGCTTAGCAAACTATGACAGTGGTTAGTGTCTTTCAAGTGTTTGGGACTTCAACTCCCAGAAGCTCCAGCCATCTTTGTCAATAGTCAGGAATTCTGGAAACTGAAGTCCAAAACACCTGGAAGACCAAAATTTGGGAAAGACTAACAGTGGTAGTAGAGGAGGAGGAAAACCATAAAACTCATCCAGGTTGAGGCACCATAGAATCATAGAATCAAAGAGTTGGAAGAGACCTCATGGGCCATCCAGTCCAACCCCCTGCCAAGAAGCAGGAATATTGCATTCAAATCACCCCTGACAGATGGCCATCCAGCCTCTGTTTAAAAGCTTCCAAAGAAGGAGCCTCCACCACACTCCGGGGCAGAGAGTTCCACTGCTGAACGGCTCTCACAGTCAGGAAGTTATTCCTCATGTTCAGATGGAATCTCCTCTCTTGTAGTTTGAAGCCATTGTTCCGCGTCCTAGTCTCCAGGGAAGCAGAAAACCATAAGCTCTCCTTGACCATACTAAGATTGTTTCTCTTTGGATAACTTGTGTTTATCCCAGGTCTGAATACTTGGCCAACTCCATAAATGGTGTGAAAAAGCCAAGCACAAATAATGTAATTTTTGGGGACAAAATATTATGGTGTGAGAGCAATCCAGAAGGCTAGGAGTAAGGAATAGAGAAGGCAACTACTGCCACAAAGCCTGTTGTATGAAAAGTTCTGCTTTTCAAGAACCAGAACAAGGGTAGTAACCAATATGGAATAATATTACACAAACAAGATGTACAAGAGGCTGTTGCACAACCATTGGCACAAATGGGTAATTTAACCCAATTGTGCTGGCAGGGGTTTTGAATCATAAAATCATAGAATCATAGAATCATAGAGTTGGACCTCATGGGCCATCCAGTCCAACCCCTTGCCAAGAAGAAGGAAAATTGCATTCAAAGCACCCCTGACAGATGAACATCCAGCCTCTGTTTAAAAGCTTCCAAAGAAGGACCCTCTACCACACTCTGGAGCAGAGAGTTCCACTGCTGAACAGCTCTCACAGTCAGGAAGTTCTTCCTAATGTTCAGATGGAATCTCCTTTCTTTAGCATAGTGGTTTAAACCACCAGCTGCAGTAAATCTTGTCGATCAAAAGGTCAACAGTGTAAGCCCGGGTTGGGGTGAGCTCCCACCATCAGCCTAGCTTCTTCTCACCTAGCAGTTTGAAAACAGCAATGTGAGTAGATAACTAGGTACCACTGTAGCGGTGAGGTAGTAAAAGGTGCCTGCGCTGACATGCCAGCAATTCAATCAGGTGAGCGTCTAAGAACAACAAAGCTCTTCGACATGGAAGATGGAGCAACATCACCCCCTAGTGGCCAGAGTCAAGCACAATCTCCAGATGCCAGAGATGGAAAAAGTTGGGAAGCCTTTACCTCTGTTTATGTAATGTCTGTCTTTGTTAATTGTGTAACAGCATTGAATGTTTGTCGTATATGTGTATTGTAATCTGTCCTAAATCCTCTCGGGGAGATAGGACAGGATATAAATAAAATATATTATTATATTATTCCAAAATCTGAAAAAATCCAAAATTCCAAAACTCTTTTGGTCATTTTGAATGAGGGATATTCAACCTGTATGAACTATGAAATTATAAATGCTGTAGTAGCTCATTCAAGACAGAAAACTGAAAATAACCCATTTTTTAAAAAGAGAGCAAATAGTTCTCCAAAAGTAGATTCAGAGATTTTTAATTGCACCTCTAAAACCTCTGTGTGGGATTGCCTTTGAAGACTGTTTGGAAGCTCCTAATGGTCCAACAAGGGGCAGCCAGATTGCTCACCAAGTGGCATACAGGGAGCACACGACTCCTTTGGTACGCCTGCTCCACTGGCTGTCAGTCTGCTACCGAGCACAATTCAAAGTGCTGGCTTTAGCCTATAAATTCCTGCTTACCTATCCAAACATATCTCCCTCTATGAACCGTCTTGGTGATTAAGATTGTCTGGGGAGGCCCTGCTCTCCGTCCCACCTCCTTCGCAGGCACGACTGGTGGGAGTGAGAGACAGGGCCTTCCCAGTGGTGGCCCCTTGGCTATGGAACTCCCTCCCCAGTGACATTAGATCAGCCTCCTCCCTCCTAGCCTTCAGAAGAAAGGTAAAAACTTGGCTGTGGGATTAGGCCTCTGGAGAATAGTGTAGTGCAATCAACAGATCTGGAATATATGGAACGACTAGGGAATGGCTTGAACTATAACTATGGATGGTGTGATTTTAGTATGGAATGTAGTGTTTTTAAATCTATATAAATAAAAATGTAATGTTCGTTTGTGGGGTTAACATAACTCAAAAACCACTGGACGAATTGACACCAAATTTGGACATAGTACACCTATCAGGCTAACAAGAGACTATCACTCATAAAAAATACTGAAAAATACAGCAGAAGAGACTTAAAAAGCCAAAAAACAAAAATTACATTACAACGCATGCGCGAAAACACATATATAAATGCAAACACACATATACACACACATATATGCACCCAAAAACATATACACAGACTGGGCCACAGCAACACGTGGCAAGGACAGCTAGTGTTTAATATGTTTTTAATTTTAATCTAATTTTATTTTATTTTATTGGAATTCTATGTGTTTTAAGGCATTGAATGTAAGCTGCCTTGAGTCCCTTTAGGGGTAGAGAAAAGTGGGGTATAAATAGAATAAATGAATAAATTATAAATAAATAAAACCGAAACATATGGAAGCAAAAGGCAAAACAAAAACAAAAGAAGCCACCCACAGACCAATTAATCAATCAAACAATCAAACATACAACCATCCACCCATTCATTAACTACTTTTCTATCCCAACTCCCCCTCTGAACAAGGAGTCAAGGTGACTGAAAGTTTAAAACAAAAACATATGTGTTTCCCTTAATTGCATCTCTTACTTGATGTGATTTTATCAGAGAAACCTGTTATGCTTCTTTGAAGCAACAAGACGAATACTTACATTTCTTGTAGAAAGCATTATGTGGCCTTTGATAGTCAAGATATCCTTTTATTAACTGAGGAGGAAAAGAGAAATAGAAGTTAGTTGCAGGACAAGAACATGGCTATTACAGGCAATAATTCATTTTAATTGTAATCTAATTTTATTTTAATTTTTTGGAGTTGAATGTAAGCTGCCTTGAGTCCCTTTAGGGGTAGAGAAATGTGGGGTATAAATAGAGTAAATAAATAAATCATAAATAAAAAAAACTGAAACATAGAATCATAGAATCATAGAATCAAAGAGTTGGAAGAGACCTCATGGGCCATCCAGTCCAACCCCCTGCCAAGAAGCAGGAATATTGCATTCAAATCACCCCTGACAGATGGCCATCCAGCCTATGGAAGCAAAAGACAAAACAAAAACAAAAGAAGCCGCCCACAGACCAATTAATCAATCAAACATACAACCATCCACCCATTCATGCAGAAACAATGGTAGGGACCATTGTTTCTGCAATCCTCCCTTTTACTCCTCTTACGGTACTTCATCTCCAAAGTGCATGAATTGGATTTCAGGCTACCTGGATTGTAATGATGGAACAGGCTGTGGCAAAGCTAGTTAGTAGCCAACTGCATTAAATCACTACTGTCCGAGAGATCATGAGTTTGAAGCCAGCCTGGGTCGGAGTAAGCTCCCAACAAAGGCTTTCCCCCAGACAGGAAGCAGCCAAGCTTTGAAGTTGGAAAGCCATTGAATGCTAATCAAGGTGGCCAATTGCAACATTCACACCTGCCTCAAATGACAAGAGTTCTTTCTCCCACCCCAGACGTTCCACAGACATGTGGGTGAAACATCAGAGGAGAATGCTTCTGGAACATGGCCATGCAGCCCAGAAAATTCACAGCAACCCAGTGATTCCAGCCATGAAAGCCTTCAACAACACAAAGCAAGATCATGTTCTTGAAATCTGATGGACTTTTCTTTGCTTTGAAAACAGATAGCAAAAAACACATTTAATGGAGGACCTATTCTGATTTTAGTTCAATGTAATCATTCTATACTAATTTGTATATTATTGTATTTGCTGTTCATTCTTGCTCTAGAACAGGACAGTTTGCCACTCTTTTCTTTTGTGCAGGGTGTGTCAATTTCTAGGGATCTAAAACCATAATGAGATAAAGACAGGGATTGATGCAAGAGCTGCAGGTATCACAGTGCGCTCCAATGGGCTTCTGAAGAAGGGTTGCACGCAATGTGGTTCCCATGAATGCTATCCCAGTTCCAGGTGAAAGGTTAGAAGTTGCTCAAATGAAGCCTATGACCCAGTTTCCCTCTGATCCACAGATTTCAATCTGTGCTTCTTCTACCTACACAGGCAGAACGGTTCAAGTGGGAGAGAGAAAAAGAATGACAGAAGTTCAGATGTGCAGACATACGAGTCATTAGAGAGGTCCTTTCACATTACACAAGGGTCTTCTTCACATCCCACCCCAATTGTGGGAGAGCTTCCATTAAGAAGTTTGACTGGCAACAGAGTTTCTATCACCAAGGTACAACATGGCTTTGGGGATCTGAATTTTACATTACTGTAGCTTTCAAAGTTGTTTTAGGTGTCATCTGGTGAATATATTAAACAATAAATAAATATCTAAATAAATTGCAGTGCTATAATCATAGAATCATAGAATCATCAAGTTGGAAGAGACCTCATGTGCCATTCAAGAAGCCAAGAAGCAGGAAAATTGCATTCAAAGCACCCCCGACAGATGGCCATTCAGCCTCTGCTTAAAAGCCTCCCAAAAAGGAGCCTCCATCATACTCCGGGGCAGAGAGTTCCACTGCTGAACAGCTCTCAGAGTCAGGAAGTTCTTCCTAATGTTCAGATGGAATCTCCTTTCTTGTCATTCCACTTTAATTTCTACAGTTCCACTCTGTGAAATGCCAGTCTTTGCATTTTAGGAAGGGGCATTTAGAATCCTCTCTCAGGGAGTTCTAGTGTCTCACCAAACTAAATGCCCCAGTAATTCATAGCATTCGGCCATGGGAGTAGGAGCCTCCGGTGGCGCAATGGGTTAAACCCTTGTGCTGGCAGGATTGATGACTGACAGGTTAGCAGTTTGAATGAAGGGACAGCAGATTGAGCTCCCTCTGTCAGCTCCAGCTCCCCATACAGGGACATGAGAGAAGCCCTCCACAAGGATGGTAAAACATCAAAACATCCAGGTGTCCCCCTACGTTTGGGACAGAGGACTACTAGCTACAGGATGCCTTCCTTCACACCTGTGTGTCCAGTTTTGGCGGGGACTGGTAGATTCCCAACTTGATGAGATCTTTCGCCTGCTCCAAGGATGAAGGAATGAGAGGATTGTTCTCAGCGCTTGATTTTTCTTGACTCTTCATGTCCTTCATGTGCTTCATGTACTCAGAAGGGGTTGGACTCTGCAGACCTAAGATATGGGAGATAAGATACACAGCTTGAATGAAAGGAAGTTATTGGCCAACCAAGACGGTATTCTACATGTTGTTCTTTGTAAAATAACACCTTCTCCACATTAATAAATTATGCAATGCACACATTTTTTCCGGAAATAGTCTATCAGTATTGCCTCAGGTGGACAAATGTCAGCATTCTGGAAGAAGCAAAGACCACCAGCATTGAAGCCCTGATCTTCCGCCATTGACTTTGCTAGACTGGCCACGTTTTCTGAACACCCAATCACCATCTCCCAAAGCAGTTGTTTTACTCTCAGCTCAAGAATGGAAAGCAGAATGTAAGTGGACAGCAAGGAGATTTAAAGATGAGCTTGAAGCTAACCTAAAAATGTAGAATAAACACATAAAACTAGGGAGCCCTAGTGTTCTAACTGGAGGTCAGCTGTTACCAATAGTGCTGTGGATTTTGAAGAGGCACAAAATAGAGGGCAAAAGGGAGAAAAGTGTCAAGAGGAAGGCACGTCAAGCAAACCCTTGTTGGAACCACCTTCCATCTGGAAAAGTATGTCCTCATTGCCAAAGACCATGTAGATTCAGAAGAAGTTTCTACAGTCACTTATGGACCCAATGCCAAGACTCTACCCTTAGGAGAAAATCATACTCTGCCATGAGTGATCTCCTATAGTAGGAGTAAATCAAAACAAACCTGATAATTGCTGTTGCAAAAAAATTCTGGCCTTCAGTACTCACCAGCTGGACAAAAGAGGGATAAACAGTGCACTTCTGATGGATGGTACGCAGCATAAAGCCCGGCAACCATTCCACCCATGGAGATGCCAACCAAGTGAAAAGGCTTTCTGTTCAGACCAACACATTCAACAAACTGAAATGAGAAGAATTAAGGAGATTTGTGCTAGAGATTTCATTCCTTCAGTACTCATTCAGGGAATGGTTGAAAGATTCTTGCTGGGTCTATTGTAAGACTTTTTGGGTGATATGAGAAGGATAGTTTAGGAAAGTTTTCCTTCTGGACTATAGCTAAATACTCCCCTTTAATTAACATCTCAAAAATTCAAATCAAGTCCTTCACCTGGGAGGCATTCCCAAACCACCTTGAGTTGCCTTCGGGCTGAGAAAGGCGGTGTATAAATATGGTAAATAAAATAAATAAATAAACTTTGCTGTGATCAGTTTAGACTTGAGCTGACAAAGGATTGTGACAGGAAACATTAAGTATCCCTCGTGGCTCTATGTAATTGTGTACCAACAAGACATTTCCAACTTAGAGCAATACTAAGGTGATTTTATGGAGTTTTTTTGAGAGGGAGGTTGCCTTTGCCTTCTGTCACTGAGAGAATATGTCTTGCTCATAGTACGCCTGTGAAACATGGACATCACACTCAACTTCTAGAACGATTCCATCAGTGCTGCTTCTGAAAATTCTGGCAAATCTCTTGGGAAGACAGGTGGAAAAATGTCAGTATGCTGGAAGAAGCAAAGACCACCAGCACTGAAGTGATGCTCCTACGCCATCAACTCTGCTGGACTGGCCACATTGTCTGGATGCCTGATCACTGTCTCCCAAAGCAGTTACTATACTCCCAACTCAAGAATGGGAAACATAACGTTGGTGTACAGGAAAAGAGATTTAAAGATGGGCTCAAAGCCAACCCTAAAAACTGTGGCATAGAAACAGAGAACTGGGAAGCCCTGGCCCTTGAGTGCTCTAACTGGAAGTCAACTGTGACCAGCAGTGCTGCAGAATTTGAAGAGACACAAATGGAGGGTGAAAGGGAGAAATGTGCCAAGAGGAAGGTGTATCAAGCCAACCCTGACCGGGACCATCTTCCACCTGGAAACTGATGTTCTCACTGCGGGAGAACATGTGGATCAAGAATAGGGCTCCACAGCCACCTACGAACCCACCGCCAAGACACCAGACTAGGAGGACCATCATCCTTGGGCTACGAGGGATCGCATAAGTAAAGTAAGTAAGTACCCAGTGGATTTCCATATTTGAGTGAGGATTTGGACCCCAGTTAACAGAGTCATAGTCCAATGCTGAAGCCATCCAGAAGTCTAATTATTTCAACTCAGCCACTCAAAATCATGGTCATGTTGGCACTCACCTGATAAAATGATATAAGTAAAAAAGAAAAAAAAGTTGGGTGACAGCAGGAGGATAGGGAGAATGACATTCTGCCTAGTGCTTTCAATACTCAAAGTGCAAAATGTAAAAAAGGTCTTACCTGGTGTATCCTTGCAACCTGATCAACTCCTGTGTAGCTTTCACCCTCCAGGCGGGTAGTGTCTCCATGACCAGGCATATCAATACAGACCATGTGGAGATCCTTAGGAAAGCCCTGTGTGAAAGATTGCACTGATTAGGAAGCAAAGGCTTCAAAGCAATAACAATTGGTTCCTTCTAGTATCAACGGACAGGGTGGATTCCACGTATTTAAATATCTGGATTGGTTTAAGTCCAGCTGATTTGCCTTCAGAACAGAAGACATGCCACATCAAAACATGGGAGAGGCTTTTGTCCTGAGGATCCATGATGTTCTGGGGTGATGTTTCCATGTGTCTGCAAGTGACAAACATATAAAACAGGCCTAATACATTGTTGTTCTGTGCCTTCGAGTAATGTTGACTTTTGGCTACACTAAGGCAAACCTGTCATGGAGTTTTCTTAGCAATATTTGTTTGGAGGAGTTTGCTTTAGTTTTCCTCTGGGATGGAAAGAATAGAGCTTGCCCAAAGTCACCCAGAGGTTTTCCATGACCAAATGGGAATTCAGACCCTGGTCTCCAGTCGTAGTCTAATGCTCAAATTGCTACACTGTGCTGGTTGTCCTGTTTGGAAGTATCTACAATTTGTAGGTACTTCCAACCACTGGAAGCAGTCCTATATGGTTTGACGGGCTCCATGGGAGTCCATCTTTGAATTGTATAGAAACGGGTAGAAATGGAAAAAACCCTTACATATGATGAAGTCCAAAATATAAGTAATATTTTATGTATCTCCTTTTCTATCTCAGATAGATTTTCTGCAACAATAACTGCAACTTTTACATTTCTTAACCTTATAAGATTATTGTTCTCCTGTTTTCTACCATAAGCTTGTGTTACATTGGCTCTGCTGACTCTGCTTCATATAAACACTGCACATTCCCAGTGTTTTGTCATTGCCTTCCTCTGAGAGAATGGGAATTGTCCAAAGTGGCCAGGTGGGTTCCCATGGCTAAGTGAAGAATCAAATAGGGCTGTATAATATAATTCTGCTGCCGGATGAATAAGAAAATAGTGTAAGGACCTTGGCCATCATTTGCCTAGAATGAGCACTGCTGTATAATTCTGTAAAAAAGCAATGGCCAATGCAGAAATCTAAGGGGATTTTGGCCATTTTAAAAGAATGTGTTATTTTATTAATTGTTATACAATGTGCTCTTATCTGGAGTTGTATGTCACCTTGATGGCTGTTAGAAAAAATGCTGGAGTAGAATCATAGAACCCTAGAGTTGGAAGAGACCTCGTGGGCCATCCAGTCCAACCCCTGCCAAGAAGTTGGAAAATCACATTCAAAGCACCCTTAAGAGATGGCACCTCCAACAGAGTAATACTATACTTCTTCAATTCTAAGACACACTTTTCCTTATATTGTAGGAGCAAGGGCTCACTGGCACTCCTCCTGCTCTCTGCACATTGCCAGGAGTCCCCTGGGCTGAAGAGGGCAATGTAATGGAAAACACACCACAAGTGTGTGTCACACCTCCAAATGGGGCTGCAAGGCTTTTATCACTTTGACAGAGAATTAAAGACACATTCTCATTGGTGTACAGTAATCAATCATTTCATTAGTCTAAGCTGGCTATCCAGATGTTCATTGGCTCTCCATGACTAACAGACAGGAAGGCAAACGTGGGATGTTAACAATGGCATAACTATAGTCTGTTGTTCTCCAGCCATGAACACTCAGTTGGAAAGTATCTATAGACCAGTGGTTCTCAACCTTCCTATTGCCATGACCCCTTAATAGAGTTTCTCATGTTATGGTGACCCCCAACCATAAAGTCATTTTCATTGCTACTTCATAACTGTCATTTTGCTACTGATATCAATTGTAATGTAAATATCTGATGTATTTTCATTTACTGGACCAAATTTGGCACAAATACTCAATACACCCAAGTTTGAATACTTGTGGGGTTGGGGGAAGGGGATTGATTTTGTCATTTGGGAGTTGTAGTTGCTGGGATTTATAGTTCACCTACAATCAAAGAGCCTTCTGATTTCCACCAATGATGGAATTGAACCAAATTTGGCACACAGAACTCCCATGACCAACAGAAAATACTGGTGGGCATTGGTGGGCATTGACCTTGAGTTTTGGAGTTGTAGTTCACCTCCATCCAGAGAGCACTGTGGACTCAAACAATGATGGATCTGGACCAAACTTGGCACAGATACTTAATATGCCCGAATGTGGACACTGGTGGAGTTTGGAGAAGACTTTGACACTTGTGAGTTGTAGTTACTGGGATGTATAGTTCACCTACAATCGAAGAGCATTCTGAACCCCACCAATGACAGAATTGGGCAAAACTTCCCATACAGAAACCCCATGACCAACAGAAAATACTGTGTTTTCTGATAGTCTTTGGCGACCCCTCTGACACCCCCTTGGGACCCCTCCAGGGGTCCCGACCCCCAGGTTGAGAAACACTGCTATAGGTCGATACTTCAGGCAGCTAGGAAATTTGGGGAGTTCAAGCTAACTAGTTCTGTCCTGCTGTATTCATAACTTCCTCTCTGCAGCAACATTTTCCCAAACTGTCAGCACCTTCTGCAAACAAAGGCCCCTGCAAATCAGGTCATATGGGATTTACAGTCATTGAAAGCATCCATGAAAATTCCCTTTGTAAAACTATGTCTCCCTCAATATAAACATATCTAAAACGGGGTGTATCTTAGAAACACAGGTGTATCTTATCTATTTTTGCTGTTGGTACTGAAATTAGGGTGCATCTTACAATTGATGGCGCCTTACCATGGAAGAAATACGGCATTTACTTAAAAAGAATGCATTGAGTATGAGCACAATGCACAGGAAAATTATCTGGAATAGTTGTCACTGGAATCAAATTGTTGCCTTTTGCAAGGCCGCCCTTTGGGGTTGAGAAGGGTGGGGTAGAAATACTGTAAATACATAATAAATAAATAAGAAAGGGGGCTGTGCATGAGCATAACTGTTTGTCTTCACCAGCAATAATGGTTGAACCAGGGGAGGGGGAAAATGGAAACTTACTTTGAATAGCTCCAACCACATGTCCTTGTTGGCTGTAAACCCATGAAGCAGCAACATAGATGGTTGGGGTCCAGGATTCCCTCGGCAGATGTAACAGAACGTGTAGTCTTTGCACTTGGCATATTTTATCTCAACGCCATTTTTCCTACGTTTGTACCTATGGGGAAAGAGAGAAGAAAGATGACTGGCTAAGAGATTCTGCATGGAAAAGATATCTAGCAGTAAAACCACAAATGAAGAGAGCCAACCGTGTTGCCTAATCAAAAGTTGCTCAAATATTGTTTTGGTAAACTCTGGTATTGAAGTTAATGATCTAGGCACTTCTTAAAGGGGCAAACTATTGCCTTCCTTTAGGTATAGCCAACATATAATATGGTTCAAGTATACAGTATATGGTATAGTAAGGGGCCACGATGGCACAGCAGATTAAATAGCTAAACTGGTGAACTTGCTGAAAGGAAGTTTGAATCCGCGGGATGGGGTGAACTCTCATTGTTAGCCGCAGCTTCTGCCAACCTAGCAGTTTGAAAACATGCAAATCTGAGTAGATCAATAGGTACCACTTCAGCGGGAAGGTAATGACGCTCCATGCAGTCATGCTGGCCGCATGACCTTGGAGGTGTCTATGGACAACACTGGCTCTTCGGCTCCGAAATGGAGATGAGCACAATTTCCCAGAATCGGACTCAACTAGACTTGAATGTCAAGGGGAAACCTTAACCTTTTATATATAGTATAGTTCAGGCACTAACTAGGTGAGGTCATCTAAGAAGCACACTTACCATATCCCAACCCTGATGAGTACTGATGGCCACAAATAGTACACTGCAAGAAAAGAAATCAATACTATGCCTCCAAAGAAGCCCATGATCAACAAGGATTTCTGGATCAAAGATAGATACATGTCTGCTAGCTAAGAATCTTCTTTCTTGCCTGCAAAGAAAGAAAAGATTAAAATCAAATGTGATGAACAAAGGGGGCGAAGGGAGGTATATGATATAGTATGACTTTGCAATTTAAAATGCTTGAATTTACCTTTGACAATCCCCTCTGTTTCAGCCTCTGTCTTCCAATCTGCTCTGTTGAGAATTACATTATAAAATTGTTGCAAGACTTGTGACTTGGTGCTGCAGCTGAGAGCTTACCTGGTCAGGCATAAAGATAAAAGTAAAGGTTTCCCCTTGACATTAAGTCTAGTCGAGTCTGACTCTGGGGGGTGGTGCTCATCTCCATTTCTAAGCTGAAGAGCTGGCGTTGTCCGTAGACACTTCCAAGGTCATGTGGCCAGCATGACTGCATGGAGCAGTGTTACCTTCCCGCCGAAGTGGTACTTATTGATCTACTCACATTTGCATGTTTTCAAACTGCTAGGTTGGCAAAAGCAGGGGCTAACAATGGGAGCTCACTCCGTCCCGCAGAGTAGAACAGCCAACCTTCTGGACAGCAAATTTTGCAGCTTAGCGGTTTAACCCACTGTTTTTGGGCAACTAAAAGCAACACTTCTGAAACTGCTGAATATATATTTATATATCTTTTGTGCAATGGCATGTCTTTGTTCCTGGTAGTTCAAAGACATACCTGGGTACATCGGTTTAACAGCTGAGAAACCTAATTGCCTTGCAAGGTGAATACCATTTTTCCAAAATGCTTTGGAACAAATGATTCTAACAAATCATGCTTTTACCAAGACGTTATGGCATCATTTTCAAAAAGGTTATGACTTCTAACAAGGTCATCCCTTCCCAAAGATCATAAAATCTTTGAAAAGATTATGGAGATTTCCATTTTCCAAAAATACATGAAGTGTATCAAACTGTGATTCTAACCCTCATATGCCTAAGTGCCCATTAGGTTACAACCAACTCAGTGTTGTCAGCTGTGTTGTTTTAGTACATCAGATTATAATTATTAGGATGATAAGGAAGACTGTGTGAAGGAAGATAGATGCTTTTGAACTGTGGTGTTGGAGGAAAATTCTGAGAGTGCCTTGGACTGCCAGAAGATCCAACCAGTCTATACTTCGGGAAATAATGCCCGTATGCTCACTGGAGGGAAGTATATTAGAGGCAAAGAAGAAGTATTTTAGCCACATCATGAGAAGACAGGAAAGCTTAGAGAAGACAATGATGCTGGGATAAATGGAAGAAAAAAGGAAGAGGGGCCGATCAAGGGCAAGATGGATGGATGGTATCCTTTAAGTGACTGGTTTGACTCTGAAGGAGCTGGGGTGGCCATGGCTGACAGGGAGCTCTGGCTTGGGCTGGTCCATGAGGTCACGAAGAGTTGGAAGCGACTGGACAAATAAACAACAAGAATTATTCACACAATTGCAATATGCAGTTATATGTTAAGCTTATAGTTGGTATACCAACAGTATGAACCATTGTTTTCATGGACTGAAACATGAAAGCTCCCTTCTTTCATCAGACCAGTCATTGAAATGGCAAAGCACAGAGTATAATTCTTGGCAGATGGAACATCCTCTTTATATTGCTAAAGGGATAATACCTTTGACAGGTACAGTATTCTGCCTTAGGGGTCAAAATGGACTCTGGTTTCTCATATGTTGGCTGAGCGGTTTTTTAAAATCAGGTTGCTGTAAACTTAGAACAGAGCTTGAAACCAACATGAGTAATTTTACTTCACGTAATGCTCAAATTTGGAATAATAGGTAATTCCAAATCATGTAAAGTTTGCAGGAGAATCAGGCTTTTAAAAACATTACTGGATTTCAAAGGAGAATTGCAAAGAAAGTAGGAAGAGTAAAAAAAGAAAAAAAGGAGCAGATGCATAATATATGAATCTAAGCTAGGTACCTACTTAAAATAAAGGAACTATAGTTTTTGAAATACATTTTCTTGAAAAGGAGCCTTAATAAAATACTGTGGAGCACATAATTTGCATGTAGAAAGCATGTGTTTTCTACCTAGGGGTGAAAAATATTCTTAAATTAAATCCATAAAATGCACTCCACATTTGTAAAATACCATGAGGTACTCTCCTAGGGTGCATCTACACCAGGCATGAGCAAACTATGGCCCTCCAGGTGTTTTGGACTTCAATTCCCACAATTCCTGGCCTCAGACTCCTTCCTTTCCCCCCCTCACCTGCTTAAGTGGCTGAGGGGGGAAAGGAAGGAGTCTGAGGTCAGGAATTGTGGGAGTTGAAGTCCAAAACACCTGGAAGGCCATAGTTTCCCCATGCCTGATCTATACTGTGGAATGAATGCAGTTTGACACCATTTTAAATTCCATGGCTCAATGCTATAGAATTCTGGCATGTGTAGCTTGGTGAGACACCTGCACTCTTTGGCAGAGAAGGCTAAAGATTTTGTAAAACTACAAATCCTAGACTCCTGGACTCAAACAATGATGGATCTGGATCAATGTATTGTCGAAGGCTTTCATGGCCGGAATCACTGGATTGTTGTAGGTTTTTACGGGCTATATCTGGATCTGGATCAAACTAGGCACAAATACTCAATGTGCCCAACTATGAACATTGGTGAAGTTTGGGGGAAACAGACCTTGACATTTGGGAGTTGTAGTTGGTGAGATTTATAGTTCACCTACAATCAATGAGCATTCTGAACCCCACCAGTGATATAATTGGGACAAATTTCCCACACAGAAGCCCCATGACCAACAGAAAATACTGTGTTTTCTGATAGTCTTTGGTGACCCCTCTGACCCCCCCCCCCGAGGTCCTGAACCCCCAGGTTGAGAAATGCAGGTGTAGATGTACTCCCAATTGTTCTGTACTCCTTGTTAATCTTTCATTCTAAAATGTTCAATTTTCCTCTCCTCTGCTTTGTTACTTTCATCTCTGCTTGTCTTTATTACTGCAAAGTGAGTTCAAAGTACAAAGTCAATTAAAGCAGCTGAAGAGAAAAAAAGAGAAGAAGGAGAAAGGAGGAAGAAGGGAGAAATCTTGCTCTTCCTTGAAGACTCAAGCAAAAGCAAATTGCAGTTGTCTCTCTCTTTGCTCCTGTGTCCTTCCCCATTAATGACCTTGGCCGCCTTGGCCACTCTCTTAAGTTTGCTGGGACAGGTACGTTGCAGTTTCATTAGGAACTATTGGAGAGTATGGAGAAAATGGTCTCAGTCCCCATTCAGAAAGACTGGAGCTCCTGTGCTATGTATAGTTTTCTTCCCAGCAGTAAGAACCTCAAACTAAAATATATTCATTTTTCCGGTTACATCTTTTCAACTTTCACCCTTCCTACCGCTTCTGGGAATTTTTAATCTCAATCTGAATTCATCCCTGAAGCTAAAATAAGCCTCCCCACCCTTACATTTGAATATATATTTCTCAAGACTTGGAGGCATGCACTCCATAATAATTAAAGCACTGATTAATTTCCAATTCTTCCAGCCTGTTTCTAACTTTCCTGATTTGATTTTGAATCCCAGCCCACAACTCACTACCCCAGGGATATGCCTTTCATATCTGGAGAAAAGAACATAGATATTCAATATAAATTGATGGAGGGTTCAGAATATGATAATAAGTGAATCATGCCTTTCTGGGTAACTCATCCATGCCATGCTATAGATTATATATATAGTACCTATGTGTCAAACTCAAGGCCTGCAGGTCAAACCCAGCCAGCTATGTTTTTTTATTTATTTATTTACCATATTTGTATACCACCTTTCTCAGTGACTCAAGGCGGTTTACAGTTGGCAACAATTCGATGCTCAGATACCATAAAATGCAGTTAAAAACATTTACTATATTATAAAAATAAACCATATAAAGCCAATAAAAACATATAAAACATATATCAAAAGTGTCTCCTTATTAAAATCAATGTCCAATCACATCATCCAATCGTTCAGTTGTTCTATATTTGCCTGCATTTGTGAACGCTTGCTCAAAAAGCCAAGTTTTGACTTTTTTACAGAATGTTAAAAGGGAGGGGGCTGATCTGATATCCCTAGGGAGGGCGTTCCATAGCCAAGGGGTCACCACTGAGAAGGCCCTGTCTCTTGTCCCCGCCAAGCGCATCTGTGAAGTAGACGGGAGTGAGAGCAGGGCCTCTCCAGATGATCTTAAAGACCTAGATGGTTCATAAGGAGAGATACGTTCGGACATGTAACGTGGCTTTCCAGATGTTGAACTACAACACCATGACCAACTGATGGGAGTTGTGATACAATCACATCTGGAAGGCTGCAGTTTGTTCTGCAAGAGAGTGGGGTTTGGATTTAGGCACAAGTCTTGTGGACAGGATGTCTAATTCCATCTTATCTTAGAAGCTAAGAAGGTCATCCCTGGTAAAACTTGGGTGGGAACCACTGACAAATACTAGGTGCTGTAAGCTATGATGGTTGAACATCCCTTGGCTGGAATTTCAAACTATGACACACTCCTAAAGCTGAAATTGTCCATCTGAGTGGCTGAGAGAGTGACACTTGTGCTTTTTGACAATTCAGTATATGTTTATTTATTTTATTTACAGTATTTATATTCAGCCCTTCTCACCCCAAAGGGGTCTCAGAGTGGATCACAGAACACATATATGGCAAACATTCAATGCCATAATACATGGACGAGATAGACAACTGTACATAAATAAAGGTATATATAGGCTTTCCCCATCGTTGGCATTTTGGAGGCTATGCTTGGTTCCTGTCTCTGGGTGAGAGTGGGGGTGGAGGTGTTGTCATCCACTTTCCCTGCTGAAGAGCTTTGTTTGTAAACTGGTATTTAAAATGGTACAAAAGGCAGAACTCTTGAGTTGAGGTCTGTATCCCAAACTTTCATTCCTGAGGTGTAGTTAAAGACCCACAGACTGAACACACATTGAAACTTAAGTGAAAACCAAGCTTACAATTTGTTGTTGTTGTCATTATCATTAACTTTATGTTTATCTTACACCACCTTTCCCCTGAAACAAGGACTCCAGGAAGCTAACAATAAATAGAAAAAAGTTGTTGTTGTTGTTGTTGTTGTTGTTGTGAGTAAACAGATCTTTGTATTCTCTAGGTCTCTCCAATGGCCTTTGTCAGCATAGACCAGGTATGGGGAAACTTTGGCCTTCCAGGTGTTTTGGACTTCAACTCCCACAATTCCTAACAACTTCAGGCCCTTTCCTTTTCCCACTCAGCCGCTTAAGTGAATTGTGGGAGTTGAACTCCAAAACACCTGGAGGGCCAAAGTTTTCCCATACCTGGAATTGACCCAGGACTTTCTTTTTAATTGCCTTTCTCCCAACCTTCCTTTTTTTGACAGCCACCTTTATTTTTTGGTTAGAACAAGATTGCAAGACCTGTTAATACCTGTAAAGGTGCAATTTAGTGACTGGATGGGGAAATTTTAAAGAAGTTTCATCCTGGGATTTGGATCCTATTGCTATTCTCTCGTTTGAGCTTCAGCTAATGATCTATAAGCGAAACGAACACCGATATCAATCAATAATTAGAATGATAAAAGTGCTTACCTTCTGCTGACTTGGGTGCTTATTACACTCATATATTACACTTCCTTACACTCGTTGCCTTGCCAGGTATTTCATCATCGGGACTCTCTTTCCATGTTCAAAATGGTGAAATCGTTTGGTTGTTGTGAGACACCTAGAAGTCTTTAGAAATACAGTTTTGAACCAATTAAGATGTAATATATTTACAGGTATATGCAGATAGCTAGATATATTTATATATTTCATCTTACCTGAAACGGGCTGCAATGAAGGTGCTGCCATTCAAAGTATTCCCTTCTGTTGTTGTCACCTGGATTTTGAACCTGGGCGGAGGAGTCTGTAAACTAGTCTTTCAGGTATACCAAAGAATAATGTTCTGCTTCCCACGGCAGATGAGAGTACAAATTCCTTTCCCATTGTTGCTGCCATTCTGAAAAACACAATGCCCATACATATTACGACACTCTTGGAAGGACCAGAATTGAAAGTACACCTCCAGTTGTAAAGACATGTCCATGGCCAGCCCTAGGTAATTTTCAAGTGTAAGCAAACAGTATTTTGCTCCCCCCCCCCCACCAAACCAATCATAAGGAAGGAAAGAGAAGGAAGGGAAGGTGCCCCCTGCTGTGTGTGTGTGGGGGGGGCGAGGGGGGCTTTCCTTCTTTGTCTTTCTCTTTCCTTCCTTTTTTCTTTCCTTCCCTCTTTCTTTCCCCCTCTCTTTCTTTCTTTCTTTCTTTCTTTCTTTCTTTCTTTCTTTCTTTCTTCTTTCTCTTCCTTTCTTTCTCTTTCCTTCTCCTTTTTCTTCCTCTCTTTCCATCCTTCTTTTCTTCCTCTTCTCTCCTCTTTCCTTCCCCTTTTCTTCCTTCTCTTCTCTCTTTCCTCCTTCTCTATTCTTCTCTCTCTCTCCTTCCTTCTTCCTTCTTTCCTTCCACCCCTCTTTTCTCCTTTCTTTCCTTTCTTCTGCCCTCCCTGCTTGGGAGACAGGAGCTGGACTGGATGCCCTTCGGGGGACCATCGGTCAGGGGTGATTGGAATGCAATTTTCCTGCTTCTTGGCAGGGGGTTGGACTGGATGGCCCATGAGGTCTCTTCCAACTCTATGATTCTATGATTCTCTTTGTGAGGAAGAGGAGCCATGGGTAAGCCTCTTTGGGTTTTGTCCATCATCATAATTGGCTATCACTCTTGACTGAGTATGATGATCTTATAAGGATATCTACTGGCAATCATCATCATCGTCGTCATCATCATATTTAATTACTTATTAATCGGCCTCCATCCGAGATGCTCTAGGCGATTTACAAGCTAAATTGTCCGCCCCCCCCCCCCCAGCAATGGGTTAGAATGAATCCATATCCACTGCCCATGGACCAGTCCATATTTAGGGGCTTCCAGATTTCACAGTCCTGTCCCTGTCGTCACTCACCGATCATCATGGGACCTTTGTTGGTTTTGGTTTGCTTAGAAGGCACTAGTGCTTGGATTTGTTTTATATGTGGGGACTGGTGCAGAGCAACCAATGCATAATCTTCACAAAAAGAAGTTCTAACCCAATGGCATGAATACCACGACAGTTAGCAGCTTCTTATCTGTTGCAACTTTCATCCGCCTTCACAGCTATTGTAACAGGAACCATGTTATCATCTTCCTGTTCTGCCATTGAAGACGTCCTCAGATTGTTATATGCAATACAGAAGACACAATGTAGCTGTGTCTTGCCTGATGGCTGCTTCCTATCTAATGGGCAGTGGAATGCCCATCACCAGCTATAAAGCCACCTAAACCAGAAAAGAGTTGGCAGCATTATTTTTTGCAAAATTGGCTTGAGATCGTCCAGTGCTTCTCTTCCCTACTGATTGCCTTTTAAAACATCATCATAATTGAAAGAACCTGGTTCTGTGAGAAACTGCTCCCAGTCAGAACTGACAATACTGGGGAAGTATCTATACCATAGATCGAATGTAGTTTAACACCACTTAACTACCTTGGCTCAGTGCTATGGAATCCTGAGAGTTAACAATTTTACAAGGTCTTTATTTATTTATTTAGAGCTTTTATAACCCGGTCTTCTTGACCTCCGAAGAGGGACTCAGGCCGGCTCACAACAGAAGATTCATAGACAATAATATAAAAACATCACAACCTCATAATACACTAATCCATAAAATACATTAAAATACAATCATATAATTACATAAGGCCAGGTTGTCAGAGTGAAATCACAATTCATCACCATCTGTCAGTGTGGTCAAGAGTTATTAACTCAATCATCAAATGCCATATTCCAAAGCCAAGATTTCACCAGCTTTCTAAAAGTCAGGAGAGAAGGGGCAGATCTAATCTCCAGCAGGAGAGAGTTCCAGAGTTGAGGGGCCACCTCCAAGAAGGCCCTGTCCCTTGTCCCCACTAGACGCGATTGCGAGGGTGGTGGGAGCAGGGCCCCTCCAGAAGATCTTAACAACCTTGAAGGTTCATAGGGGAGAATCCGTTTGGACAGGTAAACTGGGCCGGAGTAGTTTAACCCTCTCTGCAAACAATGCTGGTGCTTCACTAATCCCAGGATTTCATAACATCCAGCCATGGCAGTTAAAGTGGTGTTAAACTGCATTAGTTCTGGAGTGTAGTTGCAACCTAAGTCAGACAAAGTACTCTGACTCGCTATACAAACCCATCATTTTTGGAAGAGAGAAGTGACAACATATCTAGTCAATCAATCAAATCATTATTTTGGTCATAGACCAGCACAGGAAATAAAAGTCACAGTTTCATATGAACTTGATATGTTTATATATCTAGTCATCTGCCTGACCATTTGAGAGGGATGGCTTTGAGGTGGAGAGCCCCCCTCCCCCCAGCTCAGCATTATATCTATTATTATTTATTTATTTACGATATTTCTATCCCACCGTTCTCGAACCCGAAGGTGACTCAAGGTGGTTTACAACCAAGCAGCAATTCGATGCCTAACAATATACAATTAACAGAATTAAAAATACATTCAATAAAACCTTTAAAAACATATAAAACCAATGCCTTCATTGTCCATAAATCATCGTCTGAGTTGTTCCAATGTTTACTTTCGTCTAATACCATGTCTGACTGTTGCATTAGATTTCAAAAGATTGTTCAAATAGCTACATTTTCATTTTTTCTGGAAGGTCAAGAGAGAGGGGGCTGATCTAATATCCCTGGAGAGGGTGTTCCACACCTGAGGAGCCACAATTGAGAAGGCTCTGTCTCTCGGTACCACCTTCACAGGTGCGACTGGAAGGGACGAGAGACAGGGCCTTCTCAGTGGTGCAGGGCATCCCTGGACTATCTTAAACTCTTATACTGTCCTGCTGAGGTCTTTTTTCAACCCAGATTTAACCTTTTTTTGTTGTTTTGTTAAGAGGTTGATGGTGCCTTGGGGCTAATGGAGACCCCAAGGGTCACTTTGGATCCCCCAAAGGCCCACATGCATCCTGTTGGAATAAATGGTTCTATCCCAAAGCAGAAGAGAAATATTTAGTTACTCTAAATGTGACCGTATCTTCAGGATCAGATGAGCTGAATATCCAAGGGTATTAAAAGAACTTCCAGATGTAATCCCACAGCATTTATCTCTACATTCTTTAGAATTCCTGAACAAGCAATATCCCCAGATGAAGGTGAATATTGTTCCTAGAAATAAAATAGGGTCAGCTTAACATTAATTCCAGGAGAGGCTCTAATGCAGGTAATTAAATAATCCTTTATCACCTTTCAGAAAAGAACACTGTGATGACTAAGAGCCCACAGGGATTTCTCAAAAACAACCTACACCAGACTAATTGTACCTCTCTTCTCACAAGCTTGCTAGATCAGGCAAACATTGTATGTGCAGTCAGAGGTGGCCCTAGGTAATTTTCAATGGTAAGCAAACAGTATTTTGTCCCGTCCCCCCCCGCAATCAATCACTGATATATATTTTCTGTTCGTCGTGTGCCATATTTGGTTCAATTCCATCATTGGTGGAGGTCAGAATGCTCTTTGATTGTAGGTGAACTATACATACCAGTAACTACAACTTGCATATGTCAAGGTCTATTTTCCCCAAAGAGCGCCTCCAGAGCGCCCCTGGGCAAAATCAACTATACTGCAAATGCTTACTTTGCGTAATGGGTTGAGCCGCCCCTGGGTGCAGTGTGTTTGTAATTATCAGAAAAGCTTTTGATACGATTCCTCATTATATCCCTGGAGACAACCTGGCAAAATGGTGAGACAATGCTTCTCAGGCCAAATTTGTATAAAAAATTGGGGAAAACTCTTTTCTGTTCTTGTTGTTTTTAAAGTGAAAGACCCCATTGCCCATGCAGCATGTCTTCCTTTCAAGCTTTTAAATATTTATTGGGTGGAGAAAAATGCATGTCCTACAATTTGCTAGTCAACATGGTCAATCCTCCAAAAGCAAATTGGTGTTTTCTGAAAAATGCTCCTGATTCATGAGATGCAGTGGTGAGGACGAGTAGGATCTTGCTGATACTCAACATGAACAGTGAACTCCTTAATTCAGTGTTTTCTAAGCTTTGGTCTTCCAGGTGATTTGGACTTCTGATTCCTGAATCCTGATAGTTGGACTAGCTTCTGGGAGCAGAAGTCCCAAACACTTGGAGAACCAATGGTTGGGTGCCAATACTATAAATGACTTCTGTGTCGTCAGAATTCATTGCATTGCACAGAGGCTCTGTGGCAGGCTGGCAAACATTCCACAGGAGATAAAGAAATAGAAATCAGAAGAACAAGTCAACAGATGTATGGTAAAATGGGCCCTAAAATTGGACATAATATTGAAATTGTTGCAGCCCATCTACCTATGTGACTCCTTTTCACCCAAAATGAAGAGCTACTGTACTTAGCCCAAATATAGCTCAGCCAACAGGAATCAATCAACTGTTCAAAAGTTTATTAAAGAAAAGAGTGTTCTGTAGAGAAAACTAGTTCAAAAATACGTTTCAAGGTAAAGAGTTTATTTATTTATTTATTTCATATAAAATATTGCATAAATATGTATAAAACTGGTAAAATTAGAAGGAACACAAGTAGCTACATTTTTTAAACCAAAAACAGGCAACAGTGACCACATTGTCTGTAGCTTTGTGGAGAAGTGTACAGATGCAGAGTTGTTTGTTCTGCTCCATAGTTGCAAAAGGTGGAGGCAGAGGCGGCCCTAGGTAATTTTCAATGGTAAGCAAACAGTATTTTGGTGCCACCACCCCCCCCCCCAATCAATCACTGATATATATTTTTTGTTCGTTGGGAGTTCTGTGTGCCATATTTGGTTCAATTCCATCATTGGTGGAGTTCAGAATGCTCTTGATTGTAGGTGAACTATACATCCCAGTAACTACAACTCGCATATGTCAAGGTCTATTTTCCCCCA